CGCGTGAGCGGTTAAAAATCAAATATGAGTTGTACGTTGATTCATGATTTGTGTTATCGGCATTTTGAAAAAACGCATTTAACTCGGAATTTAATCATATGAAACTGAAACTCAAGTCATCGTTATTTCATAGTTAAGCAAATTATAATTAAAATCATCACTTTGATTAAACTCTACTGGTAATTCGTAAGACGAATTCCTGTGAGCAAGAAACTTTAGGGGTTGCTCTTTATAAATATACATTTGAATACATTCATCACTTACAATATTTATATCAAACATCTTAGACCGAGACTACCTGCTAAACTAGTCACTACCACGGATTTTTATCACCTAAGTGCGCAGAAACTGTATAACTTTAGCACAAAGTTTATTTTGAATCTAAAACTGGAGTCTTATTATAACGTATAGATTGCCACTTATAAGAATTTTTTGGACTTTGTGAAGACGACTGTCAACAAGACGATTCTTGTTGACAGTCGTCTTAGTAGTTTAGTCGTCTCACATCGATATGTGCATAGATAATTGCTGGTTATTTCTCGATGTATGCCATAACGCGAATAACTTTGTGTACAGTATGTCCCACTGCTATGGGACACGAAGGGAAAGTACTTCAAATGTTATAAACAGGATATTTTGCTTCATGGATACATTTTATTTTTAAAAGTAAGTAATACTGCATTCAAAAACTTTTAAAAGATGGTTGCCTTATAAATTACAAATATTCTAGATATTCGTACATAGGGCGCACTGTAAGTTTCCGGAACTGGCCCCTTACATAAACAATAATTAAAAAGTAATTAGAACATTTGAAAATGGAACTCTTTGGCTGTAGGAATACAGTTTGTTTCATCTGACTGTCACTTGTTTTTACATTGTGGCGTCATTTTAGAAATTGGTTGTCTACATCACCATGGATTTAACTCGTGAAAATTTTCGTAGTATGATTTTCTACGACTTTAAGTGTAATGTAACAGCTCAGCGGAGCTTCCCTCGGCTTCAAACTGCTTTTGGTGATGAAGCACCATACAGGGCGACTATTTATAGGTGATTTCCAGAATTCAAACACGGTCGTGTGAATCTCAGTATCGAATTTTGTGATGGTCTCCCGTCCACTGCTGTGAACAACAAAAACATCGATGCTGTGCGCCGTATCATCAAAACAGACAGGAATGTGACATACCATGAGATTCGGGCATCTTTAGGCATAGGCATGAGTCGAATACAATCAATACTACACAAACACGTGGGTGTGAAGCGGTGCTCCCGGCTCAAAAAATGGATCGCGTCACTTGGTGCAATGCCATACTTGGTTCCACGAACGAACTCCGTAAAAATAACCGTAAACGCCGTATCATCTTGCACCACGATAATGCCAGTTCTCACACGGCCAGACAGACAAATAAATTTTTGAAGGTGAACAACGTTGACCTTATGAGCCTTCCCGCGTACAGTCCCGACCTGGCACCTTGTAACTTTTATTTATTTCCAAAAATTAAGAACCAGTTACGCGGTCAACGATTTTCATCACCTGAAGAGGCTGTCGCAGAGAACAAAAATTTGTTTTTCAGTCACACAGTCAGTCAAACAAACAGTCTTCCTATAATTTAAGATACTGTATTACATCGCTAGATGGCATTGAGATCGAATTAAAAGTCGCTATCAAACATGGCATTTTGTACTGAATGCCTAACTTAGCTGCACTACAAAATTTACGGGTAAGCTCGCACTTGTGGATCTCTCGTAGGATTTGCTAGTTAGTTTTCGTAGCTGCTCTCTTCGTAGCTATTTGATAATAATATCATTAGACAACAACACATACGTTGCTCTGATCCCAAAGTAAGTATAAAGCGCTTGTGTTGTGGAAATCGGAAACAACGGCGGTACCTCAAACACCCCAGACCCGAGACAATATAGGACCTCAGAGGCAGCAACTCCATGGAAACCGGTGAAGCCACTCGACTACGGAAGTCGTCAATAGTTATTTGTCATGCAAGGCTGCAAAATTGTTGTTTGACGCGAGTACTTGTACTAAAATCTGAGCCAGGGATGGTAACGAAGATAAAATATGACAAAAATAGAATATGAGCTTAGCGAGGGTTTCAAGGCACGAGACGCAAAACAACTTTGCTGCCGAGCGAAACACAATATTTCCCCTCACTATAGCGAGGAAAACGGTAGATGAAAGAAAAACAGTTGAATTATATAACATAACAAATGAGTTTCAATAAACAAAATTAGTTATCGCTGTCAATTTAATGCCAAGAATACCCAAATGCCCAATGTCGTTGTGAAATCACTAAGCAATTTGCAAATTTTGGGATAAATGTGAATTTAACACTTATATATATATATATAATAGCACTTCAATGGAATGGAATTGGAAATCGAAATTTAGCAGGTTCTCTATAGTAGTTAAAGAGAAACAGCTCCATATAAAAATTACGTTTCGTACATATTTATTCTTAAACAATGCGTTTTTTAACTTTTATTTTAGACTTTTTTGAGGATTTTATATGATTGGATAAAGTATTTCCTTTCGTGTGATACATTAGCACATTCTTTAGACAATATAATAGTATTAAAGTTCGAGGCGTGAAGAGGCATATTGTAGGCAGGCAGGGTGGAGGTGGCTAGTGCAGTGAGGGTTTCATCGCTGCACTAGGTTCCTTCGCGTTTGGATACCACTTTCCACTTAACATCAGGTGGAGTGGAGTCATTTGCCTGTCAAGTATAAAAAAAAAAAAAAATATCCTCAGGTGTATCGTACATTTTTTTTGTAAGACCGTCATCGAGTAGTACATACAAAAACCACACAGATATTCCCGCTTCTCCTATGGTAGCTCGCCTTAACTACAATTTTGTAATTTTTGGAATTTCTAGAGTTTAACAAGTCGTAAATACAGGTTTCAAGTTGTCATTTTGTATGGAATGTTAAATAAAGAATGGATTATACAATCTATTTATTATTAATTGTTAATTATATATCTGGTTAATAACATAACATATTTATTTAACTATAGGTGTGTACAAACTGTGTATCTGGTGTAGTTGCAGAGCCACTCAGAGCTTTAAATCGCAAAGATCTGAGAAGTACTGCTACTGCGCCCGTCCGATATGCCTATAATTTCACCAGCAACCTTATCCTCCAAAACCGAAACGCAATAATGCTCTCATTAATGCTTGGCGGCAGAAATATGTATGGTGGCACTGATATACTTCCCTGGACGAACTCTTTCACAAGGAAATTTTTATTGAATAAATGAATCCCTTAACTACATATGTTCACCCTTACCCTGGAAGAGACCTAAGCACCCCAATACAACAATAGAGTTACAATACGAGTAGTTTGTTCAGCAAGAAGTGGACATAACAACAAAGAAGAACGAGTCGAGTTGTTAACTTCCCTCTTTACGAGGTTACGTTTGGTTCTCGCTTGAAACAGAGTAACTAATGGCAGAGACTTTAATAAATTTAATAGATTGGAAATATGTGCTGTCTTATGCGCTGATCTATTGATCTACTTCTACGCCATTGCCTAGAATTAGTTTGTATTATATGAATGACAGTGGATATCAATTAATTCCTTTTAATATGAAATATAAGACGTTATTTTTTCTTCCTTACAATATTATTCAAATATTGAACATGGGCTGAGATTTTTTTCTGAACTTTGATAAATATGCGTGGCAATCCACGGCATTGTGTGCTTTATAGATTATTAACGCGTCTTAATATAAGTAGATGGGTCTAATCCTAAACAAAATAAATGAATAATCGGCACTATCCAAAAAATCTGTGCAATAAGCGCCATCTAGTAAATTTGTTTGTCATCACTGTAAATTAGGGTAGCTGTATATGTATGTATGTATATCATTGACTTACAAATGTATGGACGTCGGGTCCGCGCTAAAGTGTCCGAACTTATAGGGCGTTAAAATCGAATACAGAGCGTTATTCACGCTTTAGTCTTCGTTTGTTCGACTGACAGCGAAGCAAGCAAAATTAGACAGTACTGCGATGATATTACAATTTAAATTCAACGTTTTAGCTTTTTCATATTCCTTTACATGTCACTACGTTTAAATAGGTTGACTTGGGACATTTTTTTCGTGGTTTTTGGATTAGACCCGTCGTCCATTTATTTGTAAGTCAATGATGTATATTGATAAAATGTAGCTTGTCAATGTAACACAAATTAGTTACAAGATTAGAAAGTTTTTATGTGAAGGATATTTAGTACTTATCCGCTGATGGCTTTGTCTACGACACCGGACAAAAGAGTGAGCTCTTTAGGTCTCTTTGAACAATAATATAATAACGCTCATACGCAACATAGCCCCGCACTAGGGAAACCCTGTGTCGTGGGTGCCATGGCCACATACATAGGCAACCACAAATTACACCCAAACTCACGAGAGAAATACTGGGGTGGGTACCACCCATGCTTTTTTACGATTCACTTGCTTATGATGTGTGGACATTTGAGGTTCTTCATACTTGGAAAGCTTCCGAGACCAAACTACAATATTCCTTAATGTAACTTGATTAACAACGAGGTTAAGATAAGATTGGAGCTGTGGTAGATTAGCAGGTAGCGACTTATTCTCTACTTTCGACATGAGGTCGTAATATCGGTATATCCTTCAGAAATCCCGGAATTTTTGAAATAATCGCGGGATTAATGATTTATATTCACTAATGAAATGTAGATAACAACTTTATTATAAAATATGTGTCAATGAATGTGATCTGGCAACACAGCACATTATTCTTAAATACCGGAATCCCGGGATCATATCCATATTAATATAACGTTAATAATAATAATATATAAATAGAACGTTTGAGTTCATTGATCTGAAATAATTTTATTTGCGCCAATCACTGAAGATCCGTATTTGATAAAAGGTATTGTTGCGGACACCGAGCTACATAATCCGCGCCGACCGCCTACTCGCC